AATTGGATCTATTTTATTTTTGTTCAATTTATTAACGCTTTGTACATAAACTAAATCTCCTACTTTATAATCTATCTGTTTTACGTTCTTATTGTAATATTCCTTATTCCAATTGTGAATTTCTTTTGAATTTTTAAAAGCTATTTTTCTGTTGTTAGCCAGATTTGTCAAATTATTATCGTTTACCTCATCGGGTAAAAATGAATGGTTTAGTCCTGTCAGCAAATAATTAGGAGTGAATCCAGTCGAACTGTGGATTGTGTTGTTGTAATCTTTTACACATTCCTCTGCTATCTGAGGCCATGATTTATCTTTATTCTCATGGATTTTACATCGTATTCTGTTTACGAAAGTCTGATTTGTCCTTTCGTTTAGACCATTGGAAAACGAACAATCCACTGCTGTAAAAACCAGTGCTACTTTTTGTTTATTTAAGTATTGCTTAAACTGTGCCGAATTTATACTAGGATATTGATCTGATAAAACCAATTTAATACTTCCATCTTTTTCTACTTTCTTAATTAAATTTATGAAGTTTCTTGCCACTTGAGTCTTTGAAATTATCAAGTACGCAAATCTTGTAAAATGATCCACCGCCAAATGTAAGTATTTTTTTGTACTTTTATTGTCTTTGAAACCTCCTATTGTGTCTATAAACACTATTTCGAGAGGTTCCTTTGCTGGACCGAGTTGAGACAGAGGTGCTTTAAAGCGATCTATTCTTGATTTGTTTTTAATGCAAGTTTCGCACGTTCTACAGGTCAATCTTATGTGTTTATACATATTTTTAAAATAAAATTTTTGGCTAAAAGTTAGAATCAACTGTTTTGTGCCTATATGACCCTGATCTACGTGTGCGTCGGTGATAAGAGACTTTCCCAATTCTTCAGTGGTCCATATTTTCTCTCTATTATTTAAAGTTTTGTAAATTATATCATCTTTACTAATGCATTTATCATCGATTTTTAACAATTTCTGGTTTTCTTTGATATCATTCAATTTCAATAAGTTTGAGGTTTTGATCACGGAATCATTATCTGTGTCTTCGTGTGATACCAAAACCGGATTTCTCGATAAACAATCAGCTTCTATATTGTCTTTACCCGGATTATATTGAAAAAAGACCGATTATTTTATAGACTGTAGGTAAGGATGGATTTGTTTAAGTAAACTGTATAACTCGGCACAACTCAAGTAAAGTTAAATAAAAGACATGAAACCACTTTATTCACTAAGTATTGCGATACAAGATTTATCAAAAGAACTTCCGCACGTATAATTTTCTCAACTGTACTATCGTGCTTCTCAAAAGAGAGTCCCCGTTTTTAGCCGGTCTTTTTGGAACAGAGCCGTCAAAAGGTGCCCCACTCCTGCTACGCTCCTGTCCTGCGCCTGCTCGAATGCGCACGCAATGTCTGCTGTGGATGATCAGGACGACGTAATTCGACGATATCCGCCGGACGCATGTATATTTCTTACAACTCGGCCAGCCTGATTTTAACTTCGTCTCGAAGTTAACTACATTATGTACAAATCGGTTAGTCGTTAGATAACAATGATTATTACTAATTCGCCGCTAGCACATTATATATATCGCGTTTGTTGAGGTTATTGTGATACATTCTTTCTCTTTTTTTTTTCGTTTACTATTCTAACTACGACTTAAATCTAATACAAATATTCTATTTACAACTACAAATTAATTTTCAGGTTTCTCCGGCGCCTTGATCCACGGTTTTATTCGATCGACAGACAATATGGTATTTAAGGGTTTTTGCTTAATGTTAAAACCTGGAATATTCTGGATCACGTATCTATGGTTCCCAAGGACCTTCGCAATCTGGTAATGCCCTTTGTAATTAGGTTTCAACTTTGAATTAATTCCTATTTTATTTCGGTCGTCCCTAATTAGAATACGATCTCCTATTTTATATATCGTTGGTTTCCTACAGTGTTTGTCTCGGTACATTTTATTATATTCCTTTACTACCTTAGTCGCTCGCAACGCATTTTCCCTGCTAATATCCCTTTCTTTTCCAAGGTTCGCATCGATATCTACAAGGGCTTGCGTAAACCTGGCTAGGGAGCTATCGCCGTGGCTACGTTGATCGAAGCCAAACATGATCTTTGCCGGAGTAGCCTTGATTGCGGAATGGTATGTATTATTGAGCACGTGCTGCATAACATTTAGACGCTCTTTCCATCCACTCGGTGTCTCTATTAATTTAGTGAGGGACGATTTGATGAAACGATTCACCCTCTCAACCATACCATTTGCCCACGGCGCTGCCACCGCAACCTTTCTATGCTTGATGTTTTTCTCTTTCATGACTTCTAAGAATTCTTTTGACGTAAAAACTGTGCCTCTATCCAAAACTATTTCTAGTGGATTTCCAAACACAGATATAATGTTATCGATACAATGTAGCGCTTCTTTAGTCCCTGTAGATTTTGTAGGGAATAACCACGTAAATTGCGAAAATGCATCTATCACAACTAAAATATGTTTGAAATTATCCGCAGTTTCTTGAAGCGGACCGAAGTGGTCAACATGCAGTACATCAAGTGGCAACGTGGGTAAAGGGTACAGCTGTGTTTCCCCCTCCAAACGATTCGAAGAACTATTCGACATAATGCAAGTGAGACAGTTATTCACGTATTCATATACTCGTTTCCTCATTGTCGGAAACCAAAAATTTTGATTAATACTTTGGAATGTTTTCTCAGCACCGCAATGAGCCAATTCGTCGTGGTGGATTCGCAACATATTCGTCACCATTGACTCAGGTACCACAAATTTTAATCTGTCCTCTATTTTTTTATAAACTAAGCCGTCACTTAAGGCAAATTTATCACTATCCTCTAGCTCTAAGCTCTGACTGATTTCTAATATTCTAGGATCTGTCAGCTGTAAAAATTCTAAACGCCTTTCCAAAGGGAGCTCGTCAACATGGGCCACGCATCTGCTGAGGGCGTCAACGTGAGCCATGCGACTTCCTGGGCGGTGCCTTATACTAAAGGTATAATTTTGCAGAGCCAAAGTCCATCTGGCTATTCGAGGATTTAAATTTGCCTTATTGATAGCATACACGATTGCATTACAGTCTGTAATGACTGCAAAATCTATACCGTACAGATACACGTGGAATCTTTCTATCGCACGCACTATAGCTAACATCTCTAACTCATAACTATGATAATTTTTCTCAGCCGCATTCGTGCCTGAGCTAAAGTACGCTACTGGGGACCATTTCCCCTCCTGCTGCCGCTGCAACAGAATCGCCCCGTACCCTAGACTGCACGCATCTGTATGAAGCTGAGTCTCTGCGGAGGGATTATACAGACTCAACACCGGAGGTGAGGTCAGTTCACTCTTTAGTAATTTAAACGCCTCTATGCACGAATTATCGAAAATATACGGCACATTTTTCCTCATCAAATTTTGTAATGGTCTAATTTTAATCGAATAATCCCTAACGAATTTCCTAAAATAATTTGTAAGGCCTAAAAATCTTTGTAATTGTAGTTTGTCGTTCGGAGGATTGTAATTTTTTATAGCCTCCGTGTGCCGCGGGCTAAGAGTAATTCCCGTCCCTGAAATTCTGTATCCTAGGAATTCTATCTCTGATCTTAAAAATTTACATTTTGCATAATTCAGTTGAAAATCGTAACTTTTCAGAATTAACAATACTTTCTCTAAAATTTCCAGATTTTCCTCAACGGATTCAGAAGGAATCAGAACATCATCGATGTAAACCAGGATCTTGTCTGCACGAATCAACGGGTTAAGGATCCGTATCAATCTTTTCTGGAATTCCGCGGGTGATTCTGAATAACCGAAAGGTAAACGCGTATATTCAAATTGCCCGTCTGGCGTGGCGAAAGAAAAATACTTTGTTGAATCCTTATGAACTCTAATCTGGTAAAAGCTGTCTTTAAGGTCTAACAAAGTGAATACTTTTTTATTACCGAGTTTCGCGAGACAATCTTCTATTATCGGGAACGGATATTTCTGTTTTATTACGCGACTATTTAAAGGTCTCAAATCCACGCATAATCGTAATTGCCCGTTCTTTTTCCTTATAGGAACTACTCGAGCGCAGTACGGGGAAACGCTGGGCTGAATTATTCTCCGTTCAAGAAGATCGTCGGTGATCTTTCTGAGTTCCGCTCGCTCTGCGTTTGCAAAACGCCTCGGCGCAAAAGCATAAATCGACGGGTCTTTCAATTGCACTTGGACGGTGTTTTCGTCCTTGACAGGTATAATATTTTTGTCTCTTATTCGACAAACAAGTTTACTTAACCGATCTTTTGCTTCTATGTCAAAGTCTATATTATGTTGTTTAATTATGTTTTCCAGATTATTTTCGTCGCTATCAATACACAGCGGTAAATACGAAAACAGATTCGCCTTATCTCGGTCACCCTTCGCGCCTGGCTCATATACAAAAGTGAGTTTTTCTTCGATAATGAACTCGCGCCCTAATATTAGGTCTCCTTGAAACGTGTTCGAATCGAGAACATATAAATTCACTGAAATTATTTTATTCTTTAGACATTGTATTCCTATGCGACTTTTGTAAATTCCTAATATATTTAATGGCTCGTTGGTTAAGTTTCTCAGCGGACTCTTAATTTTTATTAACTTATTTCCCGGTTGTATAAATTTTTCGAAAATACTATTTTTTATAAATGACACCGGACTACCCGTATCAATTAACGCTGTCAAATTACATTCTCTGTCTTCTAGGAAGTTGATCTTAACAAACGGATCGGTGACGGACAACAAAGTACGCTCCGCCTGTACTACCGCGACGCTATCGGACGCCTGTATATCCGCTGACACGCTCGCCGCCGCTATTCCAGAGGAATTTTGTGTCCGCCCGGGAGTCTTGGACTCTTTCTTTTTTAAAATCGGGCAGTCAAATCGCCTATGCCCTTTCTCTTTGCAATAAAAGCACGATACCTCATTTCTGCACTCTTTGAACGTATGCCCTTTCTTTCCGCAGTTCCGGCAGGCTCCATCCTTCGGCTTCTGCGGCTGCCCTTGGGACGACGGCTTCCTTTCCCAGTCCGAGGTGCCCTGGGTGATTGTCCGCATCCGCGCCAAGAAGCCTTCAAGAGTGTCGTCGGATACTGCCAGTGCCGTCGCTCTGAGTGATGTCGGCATTATTCCGCTCACCAGCAACTGGATCCTGTCCCGATCAGGTAGGTCGACCTGATGCATCAGCGCCAGCTTCTCGATGGCGTAATCATCGAAGGATTCCTTATTGGAAGTCCACTTCCTTGCCTCAATTTTCTGCATTGCCCTATAAAACGGAATTTTCCTATCAAATATTTTCAGCAACTCCGACCTCAAGCCGACCCAGGATTCCACGGCCAGATCCCCCTGGACGTCAAACCATCTCCTGGCCGACTTGGTCAGCTTGCTCGATGCGGCCAGCAATGTCGCTCCGTGGACCTGAGCAACCTTGTCCACTCTCCGGACCCAGGAGTGGACGTTGTCGTCCTCCGTGCCACCGAACTCCGGGATTTGATGGGCCAACGCCTGCACCGCCGATCCTGACGACCACGACTCCGTCGAGCGTCGTCCTGCTTCCTCCGACGGGGACACCCGAGGTGAGGTATCTCGCTCAACCTCCCTCGCCGTGTCTACCTGTGTTTGCGCTGATCTCGCCTCCCTCTGGTCGGTTAGCAAATGGAGTATCTGCCCTAACGTTTCGTGTTGCAGCTGCATCGCTGCTCCCATTTGCTCGTGCTGCTTCTGCATCGCCACCAGCATCTGCTTTAAGACGTCCGCCGATTCCTGGGAGTCTCTCCGCTGCTGCGAGGCCTTCGTGATCTTCGGAACTGCACCCGACGTCGTCGGTCTCGGAGAGGCCAGCTGCATCATCTCCTCGACCGGCCCATGAGTCTCGAGATGGGTCATGATAACGTCAATGAGAGAGTTTTGGTTTCCCGAGATCGGTAACCGATACTTGGACGCTTCTAATCTTAGCTCCTCGTGAGAGAGGTTCTCCAGTTGAGCTCTATCCATTTTACCACGAGCCCGAGTCTGCACCATGCAGGTAGAATCTCTTACCGTTAAATTTAAAAAGACCGTTGAGTATGTTTAACGACTCTTTTATTTTTCTCTCTGTCCCAGATGACCTTTGCTTCTGGATCTCTGTGAAGCCTGAGCTGTATCCCACTTCTGACGTTGAAAAAAGACCGATTATTTTATAGACTAAAGACTGTAAGTAAGGATGGATTTGTTTAAGTAAACTGTATAACTCGGCACAACTCAAGTAAAGTTAAATAAAAGACATGAAACCACTTTATTCACTAAGTATTGCGATACAAGATTTATCAAAAGAACTCCCGCACGTATAATTTTCTCAACTGTACTATCGTGCTTCTCAAAAGAGAGTCCCCGTTTTTAGCCGGTCTTTTTGGAACAGAGCCGTCGAAAGGTGCCCCACTCCTGCTACGCTCCTGTCCTGCGCCTGCTCGAATGCGCACGCAATGTCTGCTGTGGATGATCAGGACGACGTAATTCGACGATATCCGCCGGACGCATGTATATTTCTTACAATATACTATTTCAAAATCAAACTGCGAAATATAATTCAAAATCTGCACTAGTTCCATGTCGTTACTTTTTTTTATATTGAGATTTTCCAGTGGTCTGTGGTCCGTAAATACAAAGAACTTTTTCCCCAACAATTGAAATTGCCAATATAAAATGGCTTCTTTTATTGCTAAGCATTCTATAAAAATGGCTTTCTTCTTTTTTTGAGCGTCTGTCAACTTTCTGGAAAAGAAAAACACCGGCTTCAGGGAATTATCTTCCTGTGGCTGCTTCATTATTGCTCCAACTCCTTCAATGCTTGCATCAGTGAAGATAAATATTGGGGCCTCTGGATCAAAAATTGCCAAAGCGGGAGCTGTGCACAAATATTCTTTTGTCGAATTAAAACTATTCCTACATTCTTCGGTCCAATCGAGGGGTACATTCTTTCTTAACAGATTTCTCAAAGGATCTAATAAGACAACATGATTTGGTATAAACTCCAAATAAAAATTGATCTTCCCTAAAAATTGTCTAACTTGTGTTTTTGTTTTGGGTGTGGGAAACTTCTTGATAGCCACTAAATTATCATTTATTGGTTTAATCATATTGCTTCCAATTTCGTGTCCCAAATATGTTATCTTTTCTTGGGCGAACTTACATTTATTTTTATTCAATTTAAAACCTTGTTTATATAGTACTTGCAGTACTTGCTCTACATGATACGAGGTGTGTTCAAAAAGTATCGCGAATTTTGAATTTCCGCGGGTTACGTATATTCGATTTTCGATTTTTTTGTGGCGTTATGTTGGTACTCATGTTTCTCATTTATGCCGACAAGTACGGCCATTTTGAATGTTCAGTTAATTTTTGACAGCTGCTTTGCTTGCACGTGTTTTGGCTCGTCTTCGATTTTTGCCTATTCCAAAAAATGGATCAAAGAATCTGTATCAAATTTTGTGTGAAAAACAAAATTAAGTGCGCGGACGCATTCCGAATGTTGACTGTGGCATATGGTGAAGCTACCTTGGACCGAAGCAACGTTTATCGGTGGTACAAAATGTTTTCCGAGGGCCGAGAAGATGCAAAGAAAAGCGCGCCAAGTTCGGTCAAATGTGAAGGTTTTGCTTACAGTTTTTTTCGATTGCAGGGGCGTCGTGCATCATGAGTTCTTGCCACAGGGTAGAACGGTCAATAAGGAATATTACCTGCAAGTTATGCGCAAATTGCGCGAAGCAATCCGCCAGAAACGCCCGGATTTGTGGAAGAACAAAAATTGGCTTTTGCACCATGATAACGCCCCTGCTCACACATCGTTGCTTGTGCGCGAATTTTTGGCCAAAAACAACACACTAATAATGCCGCAGCCACCGTATTCCCCAGATCTGGCCCCCTGTGACTTTTTCTTGTTCCCGAAACTGAAGAGGCCCATGAAAGGACGACGCTACGCTACGATTGAGGAGATAAAGACGGCATCGAAGGAGGAGCTGAACAAGATCACAAAAAATGATTTTTTGAAGTGCTTCGAGGATTGGAAAAAACGTTGGCACAAGTGTATAATATCTGGTGGGGATTACTTTGAAGGGGACAAAATAGATATTCATGAATAAATAAATAATTTTTGAAAAAACACAAAATTCGCGATACTTTTTGAACACACCTCGTATACATGCTCTTCGTAAGTCTTAGAGAACACTAATATATCGTCTATATAATTTACTGTGAAAACGTCTAACTTGTTTTTTCTTATCACACCTGCTAAAACTCTGAAAAATAGCAGGAGCAGATTTCAACCCAAAGGGTAAACATCTCCACTGCCAGTGTCCGTGATGTGTCACGAAAGCCAACTTATATCTATCCTTTGCACGCACCGGAATTGACCAGAACGCCGAATTCACATTCAATTTTGAGAAAAACTTACAATTTCTGGCACGTATAGTAAGATCATCTATCCTTGGAAAGGGCTGACTTTCTGGCACTACTATTTTATTGAGCTCTTTAAAATCAATACACAAGCGTGATCTTTTTCCTTCTTCTTTCTTGAGAACCATAGTTACGGGAGCTGCATAAGAACTGCTTGACTCCTCTATTAGACCTGCATTTAATAAATCTTCTATTTGTTTCTCGATTTCTAATTTATCTTGAAACGAGCATCTATAGGGTTTCTTTGAAACATATCTATTTTCTGTCAGTTTCACTGTGGCTTCATAATCCTTTACTGATCCTATATCAAACTTTGATTTGGCAAAGATTATCTCGTTTTTTTTTATAATATTTTCCATTTTAGTAGTGCTTATTTTATTAGTGTTATTTTGCTTATCTAAAATTTTTTTTTTGTTTTTGTGATATGGTCAAATTTTCATCCTGGCAGAGTTTGAATTTTTTTATTGAGTCTAATCCTAGTAGAAATTCACAATCAATGCCTTCCTTAACTATGAAAAACTGAAAATCCTCTTCTACATTACAAATTTTAATACGTATTGTTATAATCCCTTCCGTTTTTGTCGTTCCAGCTACACCTTTAATAGTATCTCTCCCACCTATTATTTGTTTGATATTTCTTTTATTTAACGTATAAGACGGGCAACAAGAGCCAAATCGCGGATGACAATGCGTTATCCTAACGAAACTAAATAATTTTCCGTTAGAATTAAATACCGGTGCACAAGGCACCAAATTTTTACTTGGACACGGCCAAGATTTTTAAATATGAAATAATCTCATATTTTAAGATTTAATTTCAATACCCCTTTAACCCCCCTACGGAAAATAAATAAATGAATGCAAGAGAAAAATATAGATCCGAAAATCGCTGAATCGGGAATCGAACCCGAGACCTTTCGCTTGCCGGGCGACTGCTCTTCCAGCAGAGCTATTCAGATCCTTTCGATTCTATACTTTTCTCTGTTATATATATTAATGTTGGTAAACAAACGCATTTTTTAAGCCATTTTTAATTTTTAAATTTGGTGCCTTGTGCACCGGTATTTAATTCTAACGGAAAATTATTTAGTTTCGTTAGGATAACGCATTGTCATCCGCGATTTGGCTCTTGTTGCCCGTCTTATACGTTAAATTTATATTTATATTACAGAGCCTTGTTAAAACTCTTATATTTCTTTTATTGTTCAAAAATGTACTACTAACTAGAGAGACATTGGATCCGGAGTCATAAAGACCAATTGCTGGGCAACCATTTGCAAAAATCTTAATTTTAATAAGTGGGAGGACTATTCGTTTTTTGTTTCCTCATGGCTTGCTACTACTTCTTGTATTTTATTATTATTTGTAACCTTGATGTTTTCGTTTTTTAAGTTTTTAATTTGTCTATCTTTATTCCGGCATGCGCTTTCTAAATGAAATCTATTTTTGAAACCTAACCTATTACAAATGCTACATGGTCTTTTTTTGTTTAAAATTCTCTTGTTTACATTATCATTTTTCGATTCGTTAATTTTACCAAGTTGTTTTAATTTTGCCATTAAGTTTTCTATATTTATAATAGATTTTTTATCTATCTTATTTTGGATAAAATTTGGTAAGCTAATAACGATCATGTTGATTTGTGTGTTTATAGATAAGCTATCATCCGCTTCTAACAATAATCTTCTTTTCTTTAACGCATATTCTAATAGCGAGCCATTATAGAACTTAAAGTTATACGCATATGTTATATCTGTCCAAGACTGTGCAGAGAAGGTATCAATAAAGGCGTTATTCCATGCCTCCCAATTTAGCAAAGAGTTCTGCATGACAAATACATTATACCAATCTAGTGCAGATTTCTCTAAAAACAATCTTAATACTTTAGCGTATTTGTTTTGGGCAATCCCCACTCTGTCACACTCCTGCATAAATAAATTAATCCAGACCGTCGCATTTATACTTTCACCGTTGAATTTTTCAATCACTATGTCCTTTATCAGAGAGCTTGTTTTTCTTTCGACTGTTCCTGCTGACTCACTGTTTACATTCGACTCTTGCTCTGTGGTAATCTCTTCCAAATATTCGTCGTGCAACACAACATTGCCTTCTGTGTCCCGATAAATATTCTCAAGTTCCTTAGATAGTGTCAGCACAACATTGCGAAATTTATTGCGAACCTTTAAACTTTTAACGACATTTTTTACAATTGGATTTTCAAAAAGCTGTTTATGTTGAGCACTAGTCTGCTTATCTGCTGGAAACAAAAAACTTTCCTCTTGACCAAGCAGCTGAATTCTTTTAACTTTAACTACAGAACTTTTCGTATCTGCACCAGCCTCCGAGATAAAATAAAACTTTGCTTTATTCTCCATTGTATTGA